TCAAGCGATCAAGCAGATCAAGGGGATCTTTGATTGCCTTCCCTGAGCTCAATATGTGTACCAGGAATATTTATTACTTCGTCATTTCAAATACTTGTCAATTACTTCCTTTTTAAACTCTTCAGTGCTGATCCTCAAATGATCGCCCTCTACTTCGAGAAAATGCAATCGACCCGTTTCTTGTAGTTTTTTCAAGCCGATTCGGTCCTGAAAATGCTGATTAACTAAAAGGTCGCTTCTACTAGCCAACCAGATTGCTATTATACAGCGATCACCTCTGTGTATAATGTAGTTTCGTTCATCGGCACTATCGTCTCTATATCGCCCTCTTTGAAATATCCGAACCACTAAAGACGAAAAAAAATATATTCCTACTGTATACTTATTAGTTGCAATTATTGATTCTGATGACTTGAGAAGAAGAAGAGTAAACGAAGGTTTGGCAAAACCAAAATAGGCACCATTTCGCGCGGATAGTGTGGGCGAGTCACGTGAACCTTTTCCCACTTCAATCATTTGTGCTCTTTTTCTTCACCATAACGCTCCAGAAAAAAGGAGAAGCGAAAAAGGGCGTTGTCACAGTGGCTTCGCCTACAGGATCAGTACACAACGTGCTTTCAAGAAGTAAAAGCTTCTCTGAAAAGGCTCACCGAGGACTCCTTTGGCACGACCATATGATCCTTTGTGAATTTGATAAGCAAGATGTTCTTGAGACTCAACAAATTCTTTTTGTAATCAGCATTGATCTTCTGGAATCAGAGTCATTCAGGAAACGAGAAGATACAATCAGTTTTTTCTACTATGATTGCCAACTAGAACAATAATTGCTACATCTTATTGTTAGAGCAGAGAATGGATTTGATAAGTAATGGCGCTCGGGTCCTCCGCGTCGCGGCCCTCGTGTGTTGCTTTGCTGTTTACACAAGGATGTGGGAGTTAGGGATTTCATAGTTGTATGGGAGAAGAAGGGCTATCATCCTGCAACGATGCGCAGAAAGTATGGGAGAAGAAGGGCTATCGTCCTGCAACGGTGCGCAGAAAAGTCGTCCCCCACCGTTTTGTGGTACCAAGTTTATTCCAATATCCTTGATTCGATGGCTTGTGCCTTGCGGAGCACTACATGATCTGACGCTGACAAAATTTGATACTGAGAGTGACCGCTATCCCTTTCTTCTCTTTCCATTATTCAATTAACATATAGATTGCGCCATGAGAGGCACGCACATTCTGTGCTAACGGTATGCGCGGAGTCAGGCCACTACACCTCCTTACTGTGTTTCCTCTTTCTTCATCTTCTTGAAGGCAGTTGGCACGATAAATCCCTAAAACGTGTAGGATTACGCCTTGCAGGACTGAATTCGGTGGCGTGAGCAAGCGCTACATGGCGTCTTTCCCAAGGAGGTACCCTTATAGCGCCCTATCAAGCTGCAACATACCGACCCGGACGCCCACCGCGCCCCGCCCACAAATGTCCGACCGATGCTGATGCTCCCATCGCTTCGTTTGCTAAGTACAATACG